GAACTCGAAAACCATCCACGGCTTATACCCAGAAGACGAGTGCACCAAATGAATAATTAACAATTCTTCTTCATGCGTAATCAAGCAAATATGTTGGGTGTCAATGGCTATTTAACAATGCAAATATCAAATAAAAATATAGGGCATCTTTGAAATGTTCAGCAATGCTTGGCAATATCAGTAGGGGATTGAGATGATTGATATCTCACTCAGAGCTTTCTCCAAACTTCCTTGAGATTTATGATCTTCCACGCAGTCCTCTCTCTTGGTATAGCTTTCCAAACAGTCGGTCACTCCCGACAACGAGAACTACTCCAAGTACACGACCAAGTTCTCATACATATTTACGAACGGTTTTCCGGAACATACCAGAAGCTTACAATATAACTATTTTAATTTGATCCTATTACATCAGACAATACTATGCAAAAGTAATACAAAGGATAATCGCTGAATATCGCGGTTATCGCGATATATCGGCGATATTTTAGTATGGGAAGAGAGTGCATGGTAATGAATCGTAGTAGATATGATTATAGTTTTCTCTTGTTATTTTTATTTTTTATCTTTTTAATTTCCGGAAGCAGTGAGTCTCCTTTTTGTTAATACACAAATGACTGTATATGAAAATTATACTTGTTAAATGCGGATTAATTAAGAAATGGAAATGAAATTAAGAAATGAAAATTATTTCACTCGAAATAATTATTCCGGTGAAAAGTAATTCAGTAATCTCGAAACATCAGCGTTTTAACGCTTTGCGGTGGCCAATTTGCATTTTTTTAACTTACTTGATCTTACCAAATTACCCAAGAGTGTTATTCATTTCGAAGGCCTCGCCTACTGTCAATTTTCTACCGTTAAAATGACTATTAAAACAGTCAATGAAGCTGCTTATATGCTCGTCGTCGTTTAAGTGTTAATATTTAAGGAAAAAGGGAGACAATGCTTACAGAACCCCTCCCTATTTACAAGCATAGCCTTCTTATAGTTTATACGCGAATAACTATGTTTGAAAATCATATATGAGAAATGCAGATTAATTGAGAAATGAGTATGAGGGAGTTTATTTACACTGGTGAATTTGAAAGGAAGACACTTATCCGCGGATCCTGCTAAACAGGATGTGAGGTGTTCTCATTAAATTAAACTAGCGCGGAACTGTATTTCCTATAATGCTTTATCGTAATTTCTCCTTTTTTCTTTTCTATTTTTTCATATCTATTACCACTATTTGTGGTAATAGATATAGTATTGATAGAAATTTTTATCACACAATTTTAGAAGCCGCGAACCAAGAGAAAACCAATAGTATGGATGACTTTGTTTTGAAAGATGACATAGCTACTAGTGATCTATTTGTAAGACGACCATCTCCATTTTATGTACTTTTGAACTTATGGTTTAAACTTTGGTTTTTAAGTCCATTATACGTGAGATGACGCATTCAAGTGTTAGCGAATTAAAATACGCTCAGTGACTTGAATCCTTCAGATCCTTTTTAACTCGTGAATTGCGCTCATGCGCGAGTTGTAGATATGATGCGAAGATTGGCACTCGTCCGCTCACTTGATTGGTCGATTCCTGTAAACTTTTTTTCGATTGGAGGCTTTTGAGTGTATTTGATAGTTTTTGGCGAGTAATAAACAAACGAATGCGACCTTTGTTGCTAAGAATAATGCTGGGGTTGAAAAAAAAGCCAATGATAATCTAAAAAGAGGTCAAATTATACATTTTTCATCCGTGAATTAAAGTTTGACCAATCTCCGATTACACTTTTGTCTCTTGCAGCATATATTTCATTTATGGCGTCAATGCTTCTATTTTTGAGTGTATATCTGTAGGAAAATGATTATTGTTTCTGAAAAAGAAAAAGCGAAGACCAAGAAAGAAACTTAAGCGATAGGTTGCGTATGTGTGCAAATAGGCACGCGGGTGATATTTCAAAAGGACTATGCAAATTTGTCCCTGAGCGAAGAGATCTCAAGTTTTATGGAATCTGTCAGTAGGAAGCAAGACGAAAATGACCAAGAAATTTTTCGAGACGACAGTTTTATTTAGTTCTTGATTTGCTGTTGTAAGCGAAAAACGTACGAATTTCTTACGTGTACAAAGCCCACGCGGTAAAATTCATCATGCTTAGGTTGTTGTTCACTTGACTGCATTGCCAGAAAAACTACGAAGATCTTCTATCAAACTATACTTTTTGAACACATTGTTACTCGAAAATAATATTCGTCGGGCCATGGAGTCGTCAAATTGTCGCTCGGTCCTGCTTGAAGTCCGAAAGTTCGGTTTCCAATTTACGTCCACAATTCGCATGGCTTAAGAGAGATTCGTATTGTCGTTGACTCGAGAGCTTATTCTGCCTCCTTTAAGACCTTGATATCCATTATTTTCCAAGCACAGTATTCTGCAGCATTGCCACTTTATATTCTGAGTTCAACAAGATCTAACTCGATCGCAAAGGAACAAAAAATCTGACTGGAAAATTTTGAAGGTCGGCTGCGCGGACGCCATATTTTCGGATTTGATCAATTAGTATGAACACACAAAATGATGTCCTTCTAGTACCCCCTAAAGCCATCAAAATATATGTGCAAACGACGGATTCTGATTGGTTTATTGATTTCCAAACCATAGAGGAACTTTGAGGAGAAGATTCTGCTTAGTAGGGGAGGTAGGAGGAAAAGAGTTCTTTCGCGAGCCAATCGCGCGGTTTTGGGCGGTTACGGGTGGTTAGGCAAAACGAAAAATTTACTTTCGCGCTGCAGATTTGATCCAACCACTTCTTCGTAACAGGGAAAGTTACTAAGATTCTGGCAGTAACACAAGGCCATCTACGGCGTGACTCACTAGACACCATAGGCATAAAAAGAACGGAACCTTTTGATTATCTTATGCATAGATGCTTATCCTTATGTCCGAGTGTCCCATCAGCGCATATTAGCTTTTATATGCTTATCCCTATGCTTATATCGCAAGTAAATGCCTAGCTGAACATTGCAACAATAGTTTTTCGATAAATAAAACAGCACTCTTTTAAACTTTCTTTCCACAAACCGTTACGGTAAAATCTTGGAACAGTGATTACCTTGCACTAACCCCTACTCAGACCATATTTGCTGTCTGAGGCCTAATTTAATTTCACATTAGACTCCTCAAAACGCTCATTTACCCGAGTCCAACACTTCTTAGAACGATTCATACCTTAGCGGTATGGAAATCAAAGTA